TGTATCATTACACCCCTCCTCATTGGCTTTTATATGCATTATGTTCATAGGTTCCAGTTGGTGGTGTTATTGGACAGGGGCATTTTTGGCTTGGCTGTAAGTGGGCTGTAAGTGTGTGCGTGTGTGTGTTTTTCTGTCCCCGGGAGATCGTTTCTGCGAGGTGCCTCTCTGTAGCCCATTGTGTGATTGGATGTTTGCGGTTTGTGTGTGTGTGTCTGTGTATGTGTCTGTGTGTGTGTGTGTGTGTGTGTGTGTGTGTGTGTGTGTGTGTGTGGTAATAGCTGTTGGATGGTGCTGCTGTGGAAGCCTGTGTATGATTTGGCAGCTTTCTGACCCACTGAAGAGATGGAAGGAGAACAGAGAGTTGGGTAGATAGAGAGAAAGAAAAAAGATGAGTTAGAATTGTGCTGGGTTTGTCTCTCTGTAGCTCTCTCCTTCTTGTTCTCTCATTCTTGCTAAATGTGCCCACCCTCTTTTTTCCCCTCTTGTTCATCCAAATGCCTCATTCCTCTGGGTCTGACGCCAAAGACCCTCCACCCAGCTCTGATTAGAATATGCTGTTGAGAATAAATGAGAGAGAGAGAGAGAGAGAGAAAGAGAGAGAGAGAAAGAGAGAGAGAGAGAGGACACAAGAGGAAAGTCAAATAATTGGAGGGGAAAATGTGAAGTGAAAAATGGGGTAGAAAAGGAAAAAAACAAGAGATTTGGGAGCAAAGAGAGAGAAAGAGCGAGGGATGAGGGAGTGTGTGTGGAACGGAGTTGGGGACAACAGTGTAAACAGGGTTTATTGGGAATTCTGGAGGGAGTCAGAGTGAGCCGGTTGGAGAGCAGGAGATGGAGGAGAGACAGCAACAGTAAACACACAGATTTAGGGAGTGAACTGGAAGGAGTGTGTGTGTGTGTGTGTGTGTGTGTGTGTGTGTGTGTGTGTTTGTGTGAGGGAGAGAGGGAGTCGCAGCTGTAGAGTGATATCATCTGAATTCTCCGCTGTTCTCACAGGCTACTTATACACACAGAGAGAGGAGAGAATGTGTGTGTAAGAGAGAGAGAGAGAGAGAGAGAGAGAGAGAGAGAGAAGATGTTTATAGTCTTGCATTGCATTTATTAAACTATTAAACTTGTCCTAATGCTGGTTCTTGTTGTTCCTTAAAAAGTCTGTAAATGCTGAGGGCGCTGTGTTTGAATGTGTGTGTTCTGATGTGTGGATCTGGAGGGGGTCTTAAACACACACCTGCAGCTGTGTTCTTAGCTACAGTCACAGCGCACCTCACTCTTCACTCACACTGCCCACGACAAAGTCACAGCTAACCGTGGAGACCTCCATAGACAGGACATCAATCCTACAGGTGGGCGATATGACAAAAATATAATATTGCGATACTTCAAGAAAATTTAAAAAACAAAATGTCAATATATTTATTTTTTCAGACATCTGATCAGTTTGAACAGAGAAAAAGAACCAGTACTGCTACATTTTAAAGACACTGTCAAAAACTGTGGATGCAATTATTTTTATTCAGTATTTGGCATACTGTGTTGCACTTTTTTTTTATAGTAGAACATTTAGTTATTCAGTGTTCTAGAAGTACTGATGATATGCATATGTTCAGAAAAGCATATTTTATTGTATACCACTTACACTACTACTACTATCACTACTACTATTATTTACACTAATACTACTTTTTCTACGGTTAATACTACTTTTGCTATTAATATTACCACTAATACCATGGCTAGTGCTATAACTACTAATACTACTACTAGTAATGTTAATACCATAACCACTGACATTACTAGTTTTAAAACTACTAGTAATACTACTTCTTCTATTAATAGCACCCCTGCTAAATGTTTTACTATTAATACTACTACTCCACTACTTCTACTACAACTAGTACTACTATCTGTGGAGATTTCTGCAGACAGGAACTTCTACTCATACTAATAATAATATGCATATTTTCAGGCATATTTCTACTGTAGTGATAAGCTAGATATGCATCTCCTGCTTTCCAGGTTTCCCCTGGTTTCCCTCTCTAAGAGAGAGCTCCCGTCCTGTGCTGTTCTTTCTCTCACTGCCTCGCTCCCTCTGGCACAGTTTGTTTAGAGATGGAGATAGCAGGGAAGCGGCTTTAGACAGAAGAGATTCCACCGTCTGCAGACCCAGCCATCGCTGACAAACCGCAATAGAGAGAGAGAGGGAAGGACAGAGAGAAGAAATGAGAGCGAGGGGGCGGGGGGGTGGATAGAGAACGAAGTGAAATTGAACAGGGAAAGTGTGTAGATCTCTCTTCTCTTTCTGTGTGTCTTTCATCCCCCCCTAACGGCCCCCCTCTCTTTCTGTCACTGTCTCCATCATAATCTCTCAAAGATAACTCTAACAGAGTGGAAGAGAGAGGGGGGTGGGAATTCTCTGTCCCCCTCACTCCCTCGCACTCTCTCTCTCTCCCCACTCTCTCTAAATTTCTCCCTAAGCTTCTCTCTCTCTCTCCCTCTGTATTTCTGTCTTTCTCTCTTTTGCTGTCTCTCTCTCTCTGTATCTTTCCCTCTTTTTCACTCTTTCCATGTGTGTGTGTGTATGTATGTATGTATTTATGTATAATAGGAAAAACTTAATTTTATTACATCACCAATCACCTGATTTCATTTCATTGTGGGAAATCTCTCTCACTCTCTCTCTAACAGCTGGGTCATCTCACTGTTATCAGATGACACTAATGAATGGGAAGAGAGAGACAGACAGAGTGAGAGAGAGAGAGAGAGTGGTAGATGCAGAGATTTGACCAAGGCACTTTTCTTTTTATTTGTATGCTAGTGTTTCTCTGTTTCTCTGTACTCAGTTACACCTCTTCCACCAGCCCCAGCAGATCTGGTTATTAGATTGGTGTATAATGGATAACAGAGGACCTAGTTGAGATAAGTGTGTGTGTGTGTGTGTGTGTGTGTGTGTGTGTGTGTGTGTGTGTGTGTGTTTGTGCGTGTGTGTATGTGTTCACGATTGGGCCTTGAGGGCTTCACTCAGTTCAGCAGGAGGGCAGATGGCAAAACAAAAACAAGCTTTCTGAAACTCTTTCTCTGTCTGAAATTCTGCTTAATTATCTGATATCCTCCTCAGTTCAGTTCAGCTCAGGCTGCTTTAGTGCTTTGACATAAATGGTATATGGTACAGGATAAATTGAATGATAATTAAAGGTTAAAAGACTCATATCATGGAAGACTGAATTTTCCTCACTTTTTTTTAATTAAAGTGTTTGATATAGTATGTAGACATTGTTAAAGCTTCGAAACATATCATCACCTCCCTAGTCCACACAGTCCCTATATGGGAACTAAGTGTTGACACATAAACCAACAAATTTACATATATACATTTATTCCACCAACAGCAGTTCAGTCCTGAACTTACAGTGAAGTTATAAGGAGTGTTTCAGCCCAGAGTACAGGGCAGCTAATCAGAACAGAGATCATTAACATATATCAGTCTTAAAGGCACAGGAACAGGAGAGGTTGGAAAATGGTGACATATAAATGAATTATGACTGTTCTTGCTACATAAAACCACACAAATTTAATAAGTGGACTTTAGAGGAAATGATAAAATATGAGAAAAATGTAAAATGTGGACCCTTTAATTAAAGATGAATAATAAATAATGTAAGCAGTTAGGGCTGTCAAACCAATAAAATAATTATTCACAGTGAATTGAATTGTTTTACACCATTAATTGTAATTAATCTTATGTGTCTTATTTGACCAAAATTCACTTAAAAGACTTTTTTCCATTCAAAAAATAGTGCGTTTTGTAATAGCTATATTAGAAGACAATAAACTTAATCAGAATGTATTTTCTTTCAATAATTCAACACGAACCTCAGCATAAAATCATACATAAAACAACATGAAAATAAGAAACACAGTTTCCAATTTAATCACCGATGTCCAGTAACAGAGCAACAGTGGCTTCCAGCTCCTCTGGGATTGTAGCCTTTCACTCTCACACAGCTGTCTTGCATCTTGTTGAGAGCAGCTGAAGCTTTCCACTTTTTTGCAAATATGGTATGTCGACTTCTGAGCACTGTCTAGCGTAGTCTGCTGAAGGAGTCCTCCAGTGCTAATGTTACTGATGTTACTGATTTTGCCAGCATCAGTGCTGTTTGTGTGTTTTGCTTGTAAATTATATTACAGACTTACTTTGATGATAAACAAGTTCATGGCATTGCAGTGCATGGGAATTAGTTTGGTTTTATCAAATCAGCCATCAGTGGATCAGTGATTGTATAATGGATAACAGAGAAGTCTGCCATTCAACAGCTCTACTGTAACTCTAATAACCGTACACTGTACACTGAATCATAGCAACAGCATCTGAGCAGCTGGGCTTCAGACTAGACTCCTGTGGATGGTTCAAACGGTCAGACCAGAAAAATACAATAGTGTTAAAATGCATTAGTAAATGTATCACATTAAAGTGCTATTAACATGTTAACCTGTTGACACCACTAGTAAAAATATAATGTGAACATGAAAACTAAATTTCAGGATTCATTGAGGATTGCAGTATTCCAGCTACAAGAGGAAAAAGAAAGGAAGAACATCAGAATGCTGTGAAATGGTTTAAAAATTATGACTTAATGTTCCTCAGCCTTTTCGCAATCAGTGTCATACATCTCAGTATTCATGTATCACTGAAATGGCTTAAAGTGATTTTTCAATCAGAAGAACCATAATTTGGACTAAACAGCCTTTATTAAATGCAATGAGAGACAATGTTACTGCAATAAAAATTTAAATATTAACTAAAAATCTAAAAAAATCAAGGTCTGCTTTCTGCTTAGGTCTGTGTTCCACATAAAAAGAGAACATTTACCCACCCAGTTTCAGTAAATCTACATATTAAGCAGGAACTCATATAAAATATTAAACCAGTAGAGAAGTTACGCAATGATGATTTTTTGATTTGGCTGTGTTTCCCTCTCTCTCTTCTCTCGCTCTCTCAGTGGGTGTGGAGCAGCAGTGTGAGTTGACGTGCCGGCCGGTTGGTTATCGTTTTTATGTGCGTCAGGCGGAGAGAGTGCAAGACGGGACGCCATGCGCCAACAACACTCCCAGTGATGTGTGTGTGGAGGGGCGCTGCCTGGTGAGAACACACACCTAAAACACACATACGCAACAAATTGACTGATAGAATGAAAATAAAAACAACTATTTTTCTAAGAAGTAGAAAATAACAGCTGCTTGAAATATTGCAGTTACTAAACCTGTGAAATATGAATCCTTATGGGCCCAATGTCAATAAGATGTCCCCAAAAGTATAACATGCGTTTATTAAGATTCTTCTAACAGGACTAACTCTTTTAGAAATCAGTACTGAGTAATGTTTGTGTATTTGAGCTCTTCAGCTGGTTCTCCTCTGTCTTTGGTAGCTTGCAGTTACTGAGAAACCACCAAACACAAAAGTGAATTCTTTACACTTACAGGTCAGGGCAAAAAAATGATCATTTTATTATGATAAATATGATATTATTATCATTTTTATTATTAATTATCATTCTGTACACAGCTTGTTAAGGTAATATTACCTAGTCGGGTAGCTGATGACCAGATTATGTTTATCATGTCATTTTCATCTCTCTGTAAATGTGCTAAGCACACTAACCATATTAGATCTTAACTAACGTTTGTGTGCTTTTGGTTTCTGTCACTGAACACTGTGGACACAGCACCAGAAAACATGTGACTCACCAGACAAAGCATTTAATAGTGAATGCAATATAAAGAGCATTATTATCAGGTTTCTCCATTTGCAAAAGGATAATATCATATTTTTTGGTGCTTAAACGTGGATGCAGGGAGGCAGATATAAGGATTGTTTAACTGCAACTGATAAAATAATAAGAAAAAGATCTGGGACCGGATTCACGAGAGCTTTCTTAAGAAAAAACTTGAGAAAGTTCTTAAGACAAACACTAAGAAGTTTATAAGAATGTTCTTAAATTCAATTCTCAAAAAAAAAACATAAGAAGATCTAAAATTTTCTTTTAAGATTAATTATTTTCTTAAGATTTTCTTAAGAAAATCTTGTTTTCTTATGTATGCTACATTGCATTTTACCCCATACCATAAACGACGTGAGATACATTCTGAATTTGTATTAACTGTTATTTAGTTTAATCTGGCCAGAGGATAAAAATAAAGGAAAAACATCAAACCAAGCGTTTAAAAAAATTTAGCAAACAAGAACTACAGGAGATGGAAGAAATAGCCAACAGGAAAAAAAATCCTCTTTGGAAAATATGATAATTGTGGGGTGACGGATGAGGATGGGCGGGAGAAGCAGAGACAGTGTCCATGATAAATTTAGACACTGACCTTATCAACTCTTACTGCCTAAGTGTGAGGCTGTCGTAAGGTTGAGAAAACATTAAAGAACATAATATTTTCAAGAATACCTCATGTTCTTAGAATTATTCTTAAGAAAATAGTTAAGAAAAGATCATTCTTAAGGAGCTAATTGAAGAAAAACAATTTGTTGTAACTTTTTTCTTAGGAATGAAGTTAATTTTCTTTCTTAAGACACTTTTGTGAATCTGGCCCCTGAACTTCAAAACAACTTGAACGTAGTAAAGACCTATGTCTGCTTGTTTTACAGTGCAGTTTGTATTTTTGTTTTATTGAGATCTTTTCAAAATCTACAGTAGCCGTGCACGCACTGTTTATATTTTTGTCAAAGCAAGCCGAATCGCTTCCCTCGCCAGCTGCTGGATGCTTTTGGGGTGTGTTGATAAAACATAAGCAGGGCCCAGTTTACTAAAAGCATCTTAGTGTTAAGATCATCTAAACTGGTAGAGAGAGTGTTCAGTGTGATGTACACTCCACCATTTAAGAATTATCTTTGTGCTAAGAGCCTTCCGTGAAGCCCAGCCCACCTTTAGGCACAAAGAGGGAAAGTGTAAGCAGAGCTTTTAGCCATTTCTGTGCCCAAAGGCAGACTAATATTGTTTTTTAAGCTTAAAATGTAATAGTGTCCCTCTCCTTGAATACATTTGTTTTTTTATTAATCATTATATCTCCAATTTGGTGTGTATTAGTGTTGTGACTGCGGGCGTGTCACAATTGGTTACTGCACCAAACATCAACAATCTGATTGGACACCCCTTAATATCTTTGCATAAAGTTCATCCAGAAGGAGAGACAACAAAGAAATGAGGGTGTTCATACACACATACACACATAAGAGGTCTGATGTGTCACTTATGTGTGTATGTTTTCGCCACATTATAGCACACTATGACACGTTCTGTTTAATGTAAACATTTTAAAAGAAAAAGTGCAAATCATTTTGCATGACATCACCATTCGCATCATGTAAATGCTGCTTCAAATTTCAGCACCCCTTTCAAACACCTTCCTGCGTCCCTGTGCTGGAATACCACACTACTCTACTCCATGATTGATGATGATGTTGTTTTCTCTCCCTCTCTCTCTCTCTCTCTCTCTCTCTCTCTCTGTCTCTCTCTCTCTCTCTCTCTCTCAGAGTGAGGGGTGTGATGGTGTGTTGGGCTCAGGTTTGGTGCTTGATCGGTGTGGTGTGTGCGGAGGTGCTGATGGGTCGTGTGAACGGGTCACAGGGAGTTTTGAGAACAGCAGCGTTCCCCTCGGTTACCACAAGATCCTGGACATACCTCCCGGAGCTACGGCCATCAACATCACTGAGAGACACAGCAGCCCCAACTACCTGGGTATGAAGTGTGTGTGTTGGCTTGGCTTGACTTGTTTCCAGGCTGACTGAAGTGGTTGGCGTATGTTGCATTTGCTGTTTGATCTGAGAGGGGTCTCTAAACCCTCCAGCATCAATCAGCAAGAATTAAAAACAGAATACTATCAGAGTGAGCTAACAAAGAATCACACAGTGCAGTGTGTGTGTGTGTACGTGTGAGCCCACTTTGAATTCAGCTTGCCAAACACCCCCTGTGAGCCAATCAGCCCCCCTAAAGGCTAAATGTTCTGAACATTGAGGGTCCAACACAGTGTGTGTTGCACCTCTGACCAAGGGGGCTGTAGGATGACAGAGCCTCAGCAGTACATACACACCATTTATCACTTACCAACACATTTACATTTATCCAGAGCGACTTGCGGTTTAGTTAGTTAGATGTTAGTTGAATATGGTGTTCGGAATTTTGCTCAAGGACTTTTAAATCTGTATTTTAAAGTATATTTGAAACAAAATATAGTCTAATATTATAAAACAAACCCTCTTTTTTGTATAGAGGTTCGTGTTTCTAGCCCTCAGCCCACCACAAACACTGCAACACTGCACTTTGGCTCCCCAAGACAAAAAGCTGGGCACCCTGGTTTAAATGGTTCATGTACAACAGTTCAGTTCCAGTGCTACAGTTCAGTCTAATTCAGTGCCAGACTGTGAATGTTTGAGCGTGCATTTCTTTAACTGTGTTTAGGTGTGTGCCAGTGTGCGTATGTTCCTGCGTATGTGCTTGTTACCTTGTCCTTGACTGTTGTGTGCTCTAGACTAAACATTTAATATAAAGTAAATTAAACATCCTTTTTCAAGACTTCCTGTCTGTCTCTCTGCCTCTCTGTCTCTCTTTAGCACTATTCAGACAGGATTAGTTTTACATCGGGAGGTGCGCTAATGCCAGTTCATCCCAAGATGTAATGTTTATGACCAGTTTGCACAGGATAAGACGTTTGAAATACAAATACAAATGACAGAGATGGGAGGGGCCACCTGTTTTACTCATTGCTCCAGAAAAGGCAAGAAGGCAAAAGGCGCTGGAATCTTTGCTGATGAAGGAGTATGCATTTGGTAAAAATGATTGACATGTCACAATCGGACGGGACTAAAATCACAGAGAAATTCCAGTAAAAATGACATTACCCTGCCTCTTCATGTAAAACCTATCTCATCTGAATAATATGAAATATCTGTGAGAAATATGTATTTTGAAATATAACTGAAATGAAAATTCCAAAGTGCACTGATTACTCATATGTCTGTGTTTGTTTGTGTGTGTGTGTGTACAGCACTACGGAGTGGCGCAGGTCAGTCTGTGGTGAATGGCCGCTGGGCTGTGGATCCTCCTGGTAAATATGAGGCCGGAGGGACGACATTTGTGTACACCCGACCTAGAGGGGACGAGAAAGGAGAAACACTGACCGCAGCTGGACCAACAACTACCCTGCTGCAGCTATACGTAATAATATAGACTACACACAACTACACTACTGCAGTTATACATAATAATATACACTATACACAAATACACTACTGCAGCTATACATGATAATATACATTACACAACTACACTACTGCAGCTATACATAATAATATACACTACACACAACTACACTACTGCAGTTATACATGATAATATACACTACACACAATTACACTACTGCAGCTATACATGATAATATACACTACACACAACTACACTACTGCAGCTATACATAATAATATACACTACACACAACTACACTACTACAGCTATACATGATAATATACACTACACACAACTACACTACTGCAGCTATACATAATATACACTACACACAACTACACTACTGCAGCTATACATAATATACACTACACACAACTACACTACTGCAGCTATACATGATAATATACACTACACACAACTACACTACTGCAGCTATACATAATAATATACACTACACACAACTACACTACTGCAGCTATACATAATAATATACACTACACACAACTACACTACTGCAGCTATACATGATAATATACACTACACACAACTACACTACTGCAGCTATACATAATATACACTACACACAACTACACTACTGCAGCTATACATGATAATATACACTACACACAACTACACTACTGCAGCTATACTTGATAATATACACTACACACAACTACACTACTGCAGCTATACATAATAATATACACTACACACAACTACACTACTGCAGCTATACATGATAATATACACTACACACAACTACACTACTGCAGCTATACATAATAATATACATTACATAACTACACTACTGCAGTTATACATGATAATATACACTACACACAACTACACTACTGCAGCTATACATGATAATATACACTACACACAACTACACTACTGCAGTTATACATAATAATATACACTACACACAACTACACTACTGCAGCTATACATAATAATATACACTACACACAACTACACTACTGCAGCTATACATGATAATATACACTACACACAACTACACTACTGCAGCTATACATGATAATATACACTACACACAACTACACTACTGCAGCTATACATAATAATATACATTACACAACTGCACTACTGCAGTTATACATGATAATATACACTACACACAACTACACTACTGCAGCTATACATGATAATATACATTACACAACTACACTACTGCAGCTATACATAATATACACTACACACAACTACACTACTGCAGCTATACATGATAATATACACTACACACAACTACACTACTGCAGCTATACATAATATACACTACACACAACTACACTACTGCAGCTATACATGATAATATACACTACACACAACTACACTACTGCAGCTATACATAATATACACTACACACAACTACACTACTGCAGCTATACATGATAATATACACTACACACAACTACACTACTGCAGCTATACATAATAATATACACTACACACAACTACACTACTGCAGCTATACATAATATACACTACACACAACTACACTACTGCAGCTATACATAATATACACTATGCACAACTACACTACTGCAGTTATACATAATAATATACATTACACAACTACACTACTGCAGCTATACATAATAATATACACTACGCACAACTACACTACTGCAGCTATACATAATAATATACACTACACACAACTACACTACTGCAGTTATACATAGTAATATACATTACACAACTACACTACTGCAGCTATACATAATATACACTACACACAACTACACTACTGCAGCTATACATGATAATATACACTACACACAACTACACTACTGCAGCAATACATAATAATATACACTACACACAACTACACTACTGCAGTTATACATAATAATATACACTACACACAACTACACTACTGCAGCTATACATAATAATATACACTACACACAACTACACTACTGCAGCTATACATAATATACACTACACACAACTACACTTCTGCAGCTATACATAATATACATTACACACAACTACACTACTGCAGTTATCCATGATAATATACACTACACACAACTACACTACTGCAGCTATACATAATAATATACACTACACACAACTACACTACTGCAGCTATACATAATAATATGCACTACACACAACTACACTACTGCAGCTATACATAATATACACTACACACAACTACACTACTGCAGCTATACATAATATACACTACGCACAACTACACTACTGCAGTTATACATAATAATATACACTATACACAAATACACTACTGCAGCTGTACATGATAATATACATTACACAACTACACTACTGCAGCTATACATAATAATATACACTACACACAACTACACTACTGCAGCTATACATAATAATATACACTACACACAACTACACTACTGCAGCTATACATGATAATATACATTACACAACTACACTACTGCAGCTATACATAATAATTACACTACACACAACTACACTACTGCAGCTATACATAATAATATACACTACACACAACTACACTACTGCAGCTATACATGATAATATACACTACACACAACTACACTACTGCAGTTATACATAATAATATACATTACACAACTGCACTACTGCAGTTATACATGATAATATACACTATACACAACTACACTACTGCAGCTATACATGATAATATACACTACACACAACTACACTACTGCAGTTATACATAGTAATATACATTACACAACTACACTACTGCAGCTATACATAATATACACTACACACAACTACACTACTGCAGCTATACATGATAATATACACTACACACAACTACACTACTGCAGTTATACATAATAATATACACTACACACAACTACACTACTGCAGCTATACATAATATACACTACACACAACTACACTACTGCAGCTGTACATAATAATATACACTACACACAACTACACTACTGCAGCTATACATGATAACATACACTACACACAACTACACTACTGCAGCTATACATAATATACACTACACACAACTACACTACTGCAGCTATACATAATATACACTACGCACAACTACACTACTGCAGTTATACATAATAATATACATTACACAACTACACTGCTGCAGCTATACATGATAATATACATTACACACAACTACACTACTGCAGCTATACATAATAATATACACTACACACAACCACACTACTGCAGTTATACATAATAATATACATTACACAACTACACTGCTGCAGCTATACATAATAATATACACTACACACAACCACACTACTGCAGTTATACATAATAATATACATTACACAACTACACTGCTGCAGCTATACATGATAATATACACTACACACAACTACACTACTGCAGCTATACATAATAATATACACTACACACAACTACACTTCTGCAGCTATACATAATAATATACACTACACACAACTACACTACTGCAGCTATACATGATAATATACACTACACACAACCACACTACTGCAGTTATACATAATAATATACATTACACAACTACACTGCTGCAGCTATACATAATAATATACACTACACACAACCACACTGCTGCAGTTATACATAATAATATACATTACACAACTACACTGCTGCAGCTATACATGATAATATACATTACACACAACTACACTACTGCAGCTATACATAATAATATACACTACACACAACCACACTACTGCAGTTATACATAATAATATACATTACACAACTACACTGCTGCAGCTATACATAATAATATACACTACACACAACCACACTACTGCAGTTATACATAATAATATACATTACACAACTACACTGCTGCAGCTATACATGATAATATACACTACACACAACTACACTACTGCAGCTATACATAATAATATACATTACACAACTACACTACTGCAGTTATACATAATAATATACACTACACACAACTACACTTCTGCAGCTATACATAATAATATACACTACACACAACTACACTACTGCAGCTATACATAATATACACTACACACAACTACACTACTGCAGCTATACATGATAATATACACTACACGCAACTACACTACTGCAGCTATACATAATAATATACACTACACACAACTACACTACTGCAGCTATACATAATATACACTACACACAACTACACTACTGCAGCTATACATAATAATATACACTACACACAACTACACTACTGCAGCTATACATAATAATATACACTACACACAACTACACTACTGCAGCTATACATGATAATATACACTACACACAACTACACTACTGCAGCTATACATAATAATATACATTACACAACTGCACTACTGCAGTTATACATGATAATATACACTATACACAACTACACTACTGCAGCTATACATGATAATATACACTACACACAACTACACTACTGCAGTTATACATAGTAATATACATTACACAACTACACTACTGCAGCTATACATAATATACACTACACACAACTACACTACTGCAGCTATACATGATAATATACACTACACACAACTACACTACTGCAGTTATACATAATAATATACACTACACACAACTACACTACTGCAGCTATACATAATATACACTACACACAACTACACTACTGCAGCTGTACATAATAATATACACTACACACAACTACACTACTGCAGCTATACATGATAACATACACTACACACAACTACACTACTGCAGCTATACATAATATACACTACACACAACTACACTACTGCAGCTATACATAATATACACTACACACAACTACACTACTGCAGTTATACATAATAATATACATTACACAACTACACTGCTGCAGCTATACATGATAATATACATTACACACAACTACACTACTGCAGCTATACATAATAATATACACTACACACAACCACACTACTGCAGTTATACATAATAATATACATTACACAACTACACTGCTGCAGCTATACATAATAATATACACTACACACAACCACACTACTGCAGTTATACATAATAATATACATTACACAACTACACTGCTGCAGCTATACATGATAATATACACTACACACAACTACACTACTGCAGCTATACATAATAATATACACTACACACAACTACACTTCTGCAGCTATACATAATAATATACACTACACACAACTACACTACTGCAGCTATACATGATAATATACACTACACACAACCACACTACTGCAGTTATACATAATAATATACATTACACAACTACACTGCTGCAGCTATACATAATAATATACACTACACACAACCACACTACTGCAGTTATACATAATAATATACATTACACAACTACACTGCTGCAGCTATACATGATAATATACATTACACACAACTACACTACTGCAGCTATACATAATAATATACACTACACACAACCACACTACTGCAGTTATACATAATAATATACATTACACAACTACACTGCTGCAGCTATACATAATAATATACACTACACACAACCACACTACTGCAGTTATACATAATAATATACATTACACAACTACACTGCTGCAGCTATACATGATAATATACACTACACACAACTACACTACTGCAGCTATACATAATAATATACATTACACAACTACACTACTGCAGTTATACATAATAATATACACTACACACAACTACACTTCTGCAGCTATACATAATAATATACACTACACACAACTACACTACTGCAGCTATACATAATATACACTACACACAACTACACTACTGCAGCTATACATAATATACACTACACACAACTACACTACTGCAGCTATACATGATAATATACACTACACACAACTACACTACTGCAGCTATACGTAATAATATAGACTACACACAACTACACTACTGCAGCTATACATGATAATATACACTATACACAACTACACTACTGCAGCTATACATGATAATATACACTACACATAACTACACTACTGCAGCTATACATGATAATATACACTACACACAACTACACTACTGCAGCTATACATGATAATATACACTACACACAACTACACTACTGCAGCTATACATAATAATATACACTACACACAACTACACTACTGCAGTTATACATGATAATATACACTACACACAACTACACTACTGCAGCTACACATAATATACACTACACACAACTACACTACTGCAGCTGTACATAATAATATACACTACACACAACTACACTACTGCAGCTATACATGATAATATACACTACACACAACTACACTACTGCAGCTATACATGATAATATACACTACACACAACTACACTACTGCAGCTATACATAATAATATACACTACACACAACTACACTACTGCAGCTATACATAATAATATACACTACACACAACTACACTACTGCAGTTATACATAATAATATACATTACACAACTACACTACTGCAGCTATACATAATAATATACACTACACACAACTACACTACTGCAGCTATACATAATAATATACACTACACACAACTACGCTACTGCAGCTATACATGATAATATACACTACACACAACTACACTACTGCAGCTATACATAATAATATACATTACACAACTGCACTACTGCAGTTATACATGATAATATACACTATACACAACTACACTACTGCAGCTATACATGATAATATACACTACACACAACTACACTACTGCAGTTATACATAGTAATATACATTACACAACTACACTACTGCAGCTATACATAATATACAGTACACACAACTACACTACTGCAGCTATACATGATAATATACACTACACACAACTACACTACTGCAGCAATACATAATAATATACACTACACACGACTACACTACTGCAGTTATACATAATAATATACACTACACACAACTACACTACTGCAGCTATACATAATATACACTACACACAACTACACTACTGCAGCTATACATAATATACACTACACATAATATACACTACACACAACTACACTACTGCAGCTATACATAATAATATACACTACACACAACTACACTACTGCAGCTATACATAATAATATACACTACACACAACTACACTACTGCAGCTATACATAATAATATACACTACACACAACTACGCTACTGCAGCTATACATGATAATATACACTACACACAACTACACTACTGCAGCTATACATAATAATATACATTACACAACTGCACTACTGCAGTTATACATGATAATATACACTATACACAACTACACTGCTGCAGTTATACATAGTAATATACATTACACAACTACACTACTGCAGCTATACATAATATACACTACACACAACTACACTACTGCAGCTATACATGATAATATACACTACTGCAGCTATACATAATAATATACACTACACACAACTACACTACTGCAGCTATACATAATATACACTACACACAACTACACTACTGCAGCTATACATAATATACACTACGCACAACTACACTACTGCAGTTATACATAATAATATACACTACACACAACTACACTACTGCAGCTACACATAATATACACTACACACAACTACACTACTGCAGCTATACATGATAATATACACTACACACAACTACACTACTGCAGCAATACATGATAATATACACTACACACAACTACACTACTGCAGTTATACATAATAATATACACTACACACAACTACACTACTGCAGTTATACATAATAATATACACTACACACAACTACACTACTGCCGCTACACATAATATACACTACGCACAACTACACTACTGCAGTTATACATAATAATATACACTACACACAACTACACTACTGCAGCTATACTTAACATACACAGTTTTTGGTTGTTTGAAGAATAATGATTCCACATTAGTTTCAGCTGCTGTTTAATAACAGTGAGTAATAACTAATTTGTGATGGAATGTGTCCTTACTAATCTAACTCCCTCTTCCTCTCTCTCTCTCTCTTTCTCTGTCTTTATCTGTAGATCATTTTCCACAGGCAGAATTCAGGTATAGATTATGAATACTACATACCAGTGAAGAAGGAAAAAGAAAAAGTGAGAGAATGGGATGGAGGTAGCGCGTCTCTCAGAGAGATCAGTGAGTTTCTCCATTCATCTCTTTTTTTCTCCTTCCTCCTCTCTCTCTCTCTGCACTCATCTGCCTTCAGCCATATATCTGTCATTTAATATCTGTCTCTCAGTCTGTCTTTCTTCTCTCTCTCGGTTTCTGTCTGTTTACTGTATCAATATTTCTCCCTCTTAGTCTCTGTGTGTGTTGGATATATTTCTTTTGGCCCGTCTCCTCTGATCTCATATTGGGCATCGCTGCAAAAATGTTCCGATCATTTGGAACATGATTTAGATCCCTGATCCTACATACACACATGATTGCTGGCAGACTGAGGGCCTGAGTGTGTGTGTGTGTGTGTGTATGGGTGTGTCTGCTGTTGAGTTCAGTCATCTCATGACTCCTGGCCTCTCTCTCTCTCTCTCTCTCTCTCTCTCTCTCTCTCTCTCTCTCTCTCTCTCTCTCAGTTCAGGTCCGTTCAGCAGAGCTTTTTTGGCATGAGTGTGCTAAGACACACTATTGTCGAAGCAGTTAACACTTACTATTTTTTTCATAATATTTTTATTAAGCAGTGTTTAATTGAACAAGCTGCCCCTGGTTTGTACATTTTCTGTGCATTAATGTATGTACATGCTCTCTCTCTGTTTCTCTCTGTCTCTCAGGTGCTCTTGCGGTGGCTGTTGAAGACCCCGCCTCTTCTTCTGTCTCCTCCTCTTCCTCCACTTCTGTCACCTCTGACAGGTGGACACTGGAAAGGCCCCGCCCAAGGAGCCCAGGGTCAAATCGGAACGCTCGAATCCCTCCTCGGACCGACATCCCGCTGGACAGCCAGCCTGCATTTGTGTGGAGGAGGGGCAGAATGACTGAATGCTCTGCCTCCTGTGGGAAAGGTCAGCACTTGTGTGTGTGTGTGTGTGCGTATATGTGTGTGTGTTTGCCTTGCCTCAGCATGGAGTGCCTGACAGTGTAGGGATTAAAACTGTAAATACAAACAGACTGTAATTGGCTGAGAGCTGATTTTTGCTCTAAACATGCGATTGGCAATCAGCTATTTTGGTCGATCATTGTGCTAAAAAAGTCATCTGTTTACTTTTGATGTAGCACTTTATTTAATCCATGTTATTTTAATAAAGGTAACTACAAATTTACAAGCTGTAAATGCCAACTTGGCCCATTACAGTGCAAATACTGTTATTTGCAGCTTGCAATAGAAAGTACTGTGAATGTGGTAGTTTAATACTTCATGTATCTATTTAGCTCAAACAATGTGAGGTCTGGGTTATGGCCATCAGTCAATTTGGCTATAAAGAAATCGATATAAAAATCGACCATAAAAATGCTTTCTTAGGACAAACACTGAACATGTGATAAATGAATAACTTCAGAAAAACTTTAGCAGTGTTGAGAAGAAAATGCATTTACTTCAGGATGTGCCAATCTGACATGGATATTGTTGCCTAAACACTCAGTAGTGAGACATTTGAGGGAAGTGAGAATGTACTTTTTTCATCATTTATGCTGAAAATTGGAAAAATGAATTATCGCAACATGCAAGTTCTTCTGAGGTACTGGGCTTGCTTTCCTGTAATGGACACGGCAAACATCTCTGCGCTAGGAAAGAGCTTTGTGCTAAATGTCGAAGTTTCAATTATGCAGTTATTATGCTGTTTTATTGTGTGGTTTTGTGTCTGTCATGCAGGTCTGTTTCAGATTAGTTTTATTCGATTGTGGTGTGTGATGTATTGTGTTTTCTGCTTCCCTCTTGTGGCAGAAATACAGCACTACAACTCAGGACTAATTATATCTACCTGTATGTGTGTGTGTGTGTGTGTGTGTGTGTGTGTGTGTGTGTGTGTGTGTGTTTGCGTTTGTGTGTGCGTTTGTGTGTATAGGTTCTCAGTACAGGGAGATTGTGTGTGTGAACAGACACACTAATCAGGAGGTCCACGAGAGACGGTGTGACTCAGCAGCGAAGCCGCTCCCAGAGGAGGAACCATGTAACGTCCATCCCTGCCCACCATTGTGAGACACGTTTGCATGTTTGTGTGTGTATTTCTGTGTATCCCCATATGGGGTGAATTAAACACTCTAGGGGTCTTTCTCACAAAGCACATACAACATAGGCTTCCCAACTAAGTTTCAACAAAAAAAAATCCTAGCAAATGCAACCGTGGTAAACTTGTTTCACGACAGCAGCCAACAGTTTAATCTGTTAATTCAGGTTTAGAAACTCAAGCTATGATTAGTCCTTGTGTGTGTATATGAAAGAGCGATGTTTATGATGATCAGCCAATAGTGTGAAACATGAGATGTCGTGAAAGCAATCATTCTATTAAATATGTAAAGGATTTATAACAGTTAAAAGCCGTTGCCACTGCCACAGTGTTAGTGCTTATAGTAATAACTGCTTTTTATTCTTGAGGCTTATCCTTCCTCTGCTAAAAAGCTGTATTTTTATTGGCCAGAAGCTCAGCCGTGATTGGTCGAAGAGCTGTTTTTGTTCCAATGAGCCACTCAGACTCATCACAGAGGTCTTGGATGGAGCTCTATCACTCCGGAGAACGCAGTTCCACTGATCCACAGCCCAGTGCTGGAGGGCTTTTTAACCCTCTGACTGATGTGTGCCATTGGGAATGGGGAATGCTTGGCATAGGCTCATGTGCAGCTGCTCTCATTCTGTTTGCAGTGGTTTTCTGTGGAGATCATACCGGTTGTGGGTGTGCAATTGAGTGCCTCTGTCAGTAATAGGTGCACCTTAAAGGAGCTGAATTCATTAATTAGGAGGAGTGTCGGGATACTTTTGGACATGTAATATTGACATAGCTGAATTTGTTCATTAGTAGGGGTGTTTGGATACTTTTGGGCATGTTGTATATGTATGTAGTACATATGGAACATCATGTTCTGAAACTGTATAAAAACAAGATTGTGTGTGTCTGTGTATCCATGTGAGGGGTGAATCAGATTTTTTTGTATGTGTGGTTTTCCCTGTTTGTGTGTCTGTGTAGCTGGGAGGCGGGCTCCTGGTCTGATTGCAGTGCGTCGTGTGGTTGGGGTTTGCAGCAGAGGCAGCTACAGTGCAGACAGAGTTTTGGAAACCGCTCCACCATGGTCCACCCTCAGCGCTGCGCTGGACTGATAAGGCCAAACTCCACTCAGCCCTGCCAGATCCGCGTCTGCTCACACTGGGAAGTTAGCTCCGACTGGAGTGCTGTGAGTAAAACACACCAGTACATGGGAGCCAGAGGGTGTGTGTGTGTGTGTGTGTGTGTGTGTGTGTGTGTGCATGCTCTTACATTTCTAGGTCTGTGTGAGTGAACGAATGCGTGTATGCTTGCATGTGCATGTGTTTTACATGGGGAGTACAGGACTGTCCAAAAGTCAGAGACCGCCCTTCATTTATTTCATTTTAAGTACAACAAAGAAAAATCAAGAGTTCAAGAAATTACTCAAAGATGGAACTCCTAAGACCTGGTAGACCAAAAAAAGCTACCTCCAGCAGGTAAACAGTAGTAGGACAAAATCAAGCTCCACTCTTGCTTCAGATCTGAAAAAAACACAGGTGTTTCTGTTGTGTATGTGCAGATACATATATGTTTGTTGTGTGTTTGACATGTATAGTACATTGTTTGTGTGCTCATATGGGCATGCATATGTGTGTGTGTGGGCTGAAGTGTGCGGAGGTTCTTTACGTGTTTTTGTTTTAAGTGGAGATGGGTATTTTACATAATTCTGTCTGTTTGTATGTGAGTGTGGAAATTTTACAAGTGTGTTCCTCTGGCAGTGTTCAGTGGACTGTGGTGTGGGGAAGAGAACGCGCAGCGTCCGCTGTGTCAGTGACTATGGCAATGAGGTGAACGAAGGGGAGTGTAATGCCAGGCTCCGCCCACAGGGGAGTGAGGACTGTCACATGGGGCCATGTGTCACTAACTGGTACTTTACCGACTGGACCAACACTGTGAGTACTGACCAGCAGCCTTAAAATACTGCAGACCATCTCCTTACTTCATAATACAGTTATTTAATATTATTTTCTGACATTTGTACATTCACTCACAGCACAGTGGATGTCTAGATGTTATTTGAGTAGTGGATCATTTACAACACAGTAATGACACGGACGTCTGAGCCGCCACCCCAAAATATTCAGAAAATAGCATATCTGTTGTTAGTAAATGGACGTTGATGAACACTGTCAGAAAAAGAGGAGTACATTTTTGTCCCCCCTAGGTTCACACACTGTAAATGTACCCTCAAAGGTACAACAGTTGTCCTTACAGTCCAATTGTCATTAAATTGTCTTAAATTAGTTTTAAAGGTTACCTACATTAGCTTTAGCTACATTAGCTCCTAACAAAGCCCACAATGAGAGTATATAAATATTTAGAGATTCTCATGTAGATGTGTGTGTGTGTGTGTGTGTGTGTGCGTGTGTGTGTGTCTGTGTGTGTGTGTGTCTCAGTGCTCTGCGACATGTGGTCCAGGTGTCCAGCGGAGGGAGGTGCTGTGTTTAACGAGAGGAGGAGGGCGTGGAGGGGACAGTGGAGGGGAATGTATTGGAGAAAAGCCTGCAGATATGAAGGCCTGTAATGGTGGACCCTGCAAACCGACTGCATTGTGGTACACTGGACCCTGGGGACAGGTGAGACAGACTGTGTGTATGATGTTAGCACTAACATAGGGGTGGAGTATAATATCACAGTATAATATTGATGCAGTATAATATCAAAATATGTTGGGTTTAAAAACAGTATTTATATACAAAGGCTCAAGTATCAATATTTTATTATTTAATTAATAACATAAATATGAATTAAGCCCACTGTTAGACTAATAGATTAACAAAATGCATTTCTGTACAACAAGACGGTGCCATTTCTTTCTGGTGACACCAACATTTCTGTCAGTGGAAGTGGTGTAGGAATAGTTGGATAGTGTAGTGGATAACAAGCTCGTCCTGCATACAGGAGTGGAGACAAAAATCAGAAACTCTTCTTTATTATAGCATAAAAAGTCGCTTGATGAGGCTAAACTTACATTCCCCTGCCATTGTAAGCTGCTCTGGATAAAATATTGTTAAAGATGTATGGATAAAACCTGGTTTAAATATTGTTTGTGTGCTTTACAAATAAAAGTATCTGCTACATTTGTAATGTAGGGACTGTAAATGTAAATGTAGGGACAGTTTTTTGGAATGTCTACCTCACAATTTTGTTTTGTTTCAATAAAAAAGATTGGAATGAGACAAAGTGTGAATAAACTTGATTAGATAGGACAAAGTAGAAATAATTTGAAAAGTATTGCAATATGTCACATTACAGCAAGTGGCACATCACAAATCTTTACATATTTCAATTCTGTCCTATCGTGATTAATCAATGTGATACGTGTGTGTGTTCTACAGTGTAGCTCTCCATGTGGAAGTGGAATGCAGAGGAGAGATGTTATCTGTGTCCAGAAGCTGGGCAGTGATTTCACAGTGATGGATGCCAGTGAGTGTTCACACCTGGACAAACCTTCACCTGTTCAGACCTGTGAACTCCAGCCCTGCAGAGCACAGTGGTTCACTACAGAGTGGAGTGCGGTGAGAGAGCGAGAGAGATCCTTAAACATTCACTGTATGAAAAAAAGTTTGTGGAGACCTTCTTATCATTTCTTCTGAAATCACAGGTGTTAAAAGGGAGATTGTATCCTCTTTACTGCTTTAACCACCTCTAGAAGACTTTATACTGGATGATAGAACATTGCTGTGAGGATTTGATAGAATTCAGCTACAGGAGTATTTGGATGGTCAGGTACTGATGTTGGATGATTAGTTCTGGATCATAACTTCCACTCCAGCTTGTCCTAAAAACTACTGGATGATGCTCTGTCACTTCAGAGAATGAAGTTGCACTGCTCCACAGCTCAGTGTTGGGGCCCCTCTAGTTGTGGCTTATGTGCAGCTGCTCCAGAGTATCTATTTTATTGATAGTGCTTTTCTGTGGAGATTATACAAGCGGTGTGCACACAGTTGAATATCTGTGTCAGCAGTGGGTGAACGATAAAGTAACTGAATTCAGTACTTTTAAGGTGTCTAGATACTTCTGTATGTACAGTGTTTTTTCTTATCTTTTTCTCTTCATTAATATTGTCAAGCATTACGTGCATTGTTTTGGCAACAATTGTCAATTACAATTCATGCCATAAAGCATTTGGAATTTCCATTTGTGTGAGAGAGACAGAGAGAGAGAATTAGAGGGAGGGAATGAGTGAGAAAAAAATGGAGAATGAGGAAGAGAGAGATAGATAGAGAAAGGGAAGAAGAGAAAGAAGAAAAGAAGGAAAAGAAGAGAGGTAGGGGGAAAAGAGAGTGAAGGAAGAAGAGAGAACAACCAGAACAGGGAAAGAAGCTTTGTTTACATCCTAATGATCTAATTATGTAGAAATGCTACATTTTCAGAGAATTTTCCTTTAACTTCTTAACCCCCTCCTGTCTGCAGTGCTCTCGTTCGTGCGGTAAAGGATTACAGACGCGGGAGGTTCGCTGTATTTCAGCTGATAAACAGCACAGTGCTGACTGTGATCTCAGCAGCAGACCAGAACAAGAGCAGCTCTGTAACACACTGCCCTGCAGCCCCTTCACAGGTCAGTCTGCGTGTGTGGGTTCATGACTGCTTCTTTCATGTTTTCCATTGATATGAATGAGAATTATAAATTATTTTCATCTATCCATGTTTATCACACTCCCTCTCTCTTCCTCTCTCTCTCTCTCAAAAAACATCCATTTTCAATTATAATGAAACTAATAAACAATTAATCAATAATAATCAAATACATATGTGTTTACTTACATAGAAGTTTGACATTGGCCCATTAAAAATGTATTATTTTTTCTCTCTCCTCTCTACCTTCCTTCTCTTTCTCTATCCTTCCTTCTTTCCTTCCTTCTTAAATGCTTCTTTCCATCCTCCCTTTCTCTGTTTCTCTTATCTTTCTCTCTCACTTCCTCTTTTACTCTCTCCCTCCTTCCTTCCTTTTTTTGCCATCCTTCTCTCTGCGTCTTACCCCCCTCATTTTATGCCCCCCTTTCCTTCCCTCCCTCTCCCCATATAAAAATGTAATATTTTAACAATACATTTCAACGTATTTAATTTATATGTTGTAATATATTGGCAACATGTTCCAATATATTCCATTTTCATATGGGTCTGCCTCCCTCGCCTTCTCCATTTCTGCTTCCCTCCCTACTTTTTTTCTCTCTTTATCACTCCCTTTCTTTCTCTCTCCTTTCTTCTCTTCCCTTGTCCTTCATTATACTACCTTCCTCTCTCTCTCTCTCTCTCTCTCTCTCTTTCTCTCTCTATAGATGAGAATTGTACGGATCGTCGTCATAACTGTATGATGGTGGTTCAGGCTCGTCTGTGTGTGTACTCTTATTACAAAACGGCCTGCTGTGCCTCCTGCACTCAGAGCGCACAGCGGGCCAAGCGACACTGACCTCTCCACAGCCACTGGTCAGCCAGAGGTCACAGGTCAGGTGGGCAACACGCTGGGACTAGAGCTTGGCCGGAATGTGATAGACCTCCGACCAGCGTGGGTCTGATAGGGATGAAGCACTCTTTAGAGCTAAACTGAGATTGGAAACCCAGCCGTCAAAGTGTTTCCAGAATTACAGTGCTCCAATCCCGGGCTGAGCTGGACCTGCCGCTCTCAGCTAACCCCTCCCACCAGCCCTGCCCACCCCCGAGCAGCATACTTAAGGACTCTTTCTCAAAGAGGGGACTTTTTTTGACCAAATAAGCCTTTGTTTTAAAAGCACTAGTCTTCTTTTCCTGCTCTATCTGTGGGGGATTTGTAGGTAATATAAACCTGAAAACCAAAATGTAGGATCAGGTGCCCCATTTGTTTGATTTCTCTACGTCAAGAGTTCATGAATGTGTCATTTTGGTAATAATAAGATGATAAAACAGATTATTGATATATTTGTATCTGTAGTTGTAGTGCATCGCTTGAAACAGTTCCTCTTCAGTTCCATTAAAACTGCTTCATAAAGGCAAAACTGGGAGCTTCACAGTGAAAGTGCCCATATTGTGAACTTTTAAAGATTCGTCCGCTGTGTTCTGGAAGAAGACTGACTGCTGAGACAGGTCGAGTCACTGAAATCATGAATTTGATGGACAATTTTGTGGACTATTCAAGACAATTTTTGAAATAAACGCAGAACACAGAAAAACATTTTTTTACCGTATTTGGAGGCTTTAAGAAGTTGATTTATTTGAAACCTCCCACCAAGTTTGATATTGCTCTTATTTGGTTTGCATATGCAAATTTAATTTCAGTCCCTTGCAGTCAGGGCTGTAAGCTACTGCCACACTCACATGCAAGCAAGTACACGTAAACACACAGCACACCGGCTCTTCCACCCTCTCAGCTGCACTCTTCCTGACCAGCACAATAACAAGTTACTGTTTTTTGTACTTCCAGCTTTTTCAAAACACTTCTATACAAGATTGATATGCATGTACAAAGGTTGTATTTTAATGAACACGACATATGTTTAAGAGTGGACATGTAATGAATTCAGTGTATGAAATGCATCATTGAATATGAATCAACAGGATTCAGTTTTCTGTGTGTGTGTTGTGTGTGTGTGTGTGTGTGTGAGTGTGTGTGAGTGTGTGTGTGTGAGTGTGTGAGAATATGTAGTTTTGTATGTTACTTGTCATTGTCTGTATGAGAGAGAGCAAATGTAGAGGCTTCTTTGTGTGTATAGTGCCATAATCAACAGTAGGAAATACCCTTTAGGAGAAAAAAGTGTACTTTTATATTAAAGAAGAAAACAGATAGTTATTTATCTATGATTTTTTTTTAAACATACACATAATTTATTTTTTTCTTAAATGAAGCAATGGAAAAATGCTTTTACCATTTTGGATGTTTCAAGAAAAAAAAAAATATTGTAAAATAAACTTTTTTTGTCATTAAAGTGGGTGCAAATTACACATTGCTGCAAACTAAATAAAATTGTAATGACAGAGAGTTCAGTATGTTTAATTGTTTTCACTCCACATCTAAAGCTCATCACATGTGCGATGGCTACTTTAGTCCAGTAGTGGGCAGTGTTATGTCACAGCAGCTTCTGCCTTTGATCTGTGAAAGAAGACTCCACACAGCGTGCAAACTGGCGGGGTACTTAACGATGTCAGAGTGTGAGTGTAGTTGGGGGCACAAGAGGCAGATGGTGACCTTTCAGAGTAAATCACTCTGAACTCAAAGACATCATCAACCGCATGATGCAAGCAGCAGGGAGGCGGGGCTCCAGAATGGGAATACAGAGGAAAAAAAGCTGCAGGTGAGGTGAAGATCCAGGTGTGCTGCAGGACCAAATGTATTTACTCCCAGATGTGCTCCAGCCTTGTGTGTACTAAAGCCCCAAGTGTGTCCGAGTCCCAGGTTTGTACAGAAGCAGAAACAGCTGTGCTCCAGATCCAGGTGTGCTCCGAATACACTAAAGCCTTAAGCAGCCTTAAGTAGTGATGCTGTGTCCAAACTGCAGGTGTGCTACAACTCTATGTGTGCTCCAGACCCAGCTATCCTCCAGCAACAGGTGAGTTCCAGCACCAAGGACAGAGGCACGCTGAGCTCACACAGCCTATGATGCTGCCGTCCAGACCTCTGCTGTACTTAGCATCACTGTGAGTGTGAGGTTCAGGGATTATGGCTTAATCTGGAGATTACAGCCTAATGTTGCACTCACACATTAACATTCATCCACACATCTACAATCTGCTGATGTACGTCAGGACTAGCACATGTTAAGGGTGTGTGTGGATGTATCTGAGTGTGTAAGTGTATCTATCATACATCTCTATACAAATCATACTTATTCCAAAAGTGCACCTTTTATTTATTTAATTTCCAGTCAAAAGACCATTAAATACAAAGTTATTCATTTTCAGTGTTTGGACAAAAAGCAGTGTGTCTGTTTTCTCAGTAAGGGCTTCTTGACCTACACACCCTTTCAGTCTCATAGTGTTGAGTTGTCTTCTCACAGTGGAAGGATGGACAGAAACACCTGTGGATTTTGTCAGATTTAAAGCAAGAGTGGAGCTTGATTTTCTCCTCTCTCTCAAAGATGAAAGCTTTAAGAAGTGTTTGTCTGATATTGACAGTTTTGGTGGTCTACTCGCTCTTGCAGGAGTCATATTTTGTTTCTGTCTATTAATATTTTTCAGCTCCAGGTTCCATAAGCTCCACTTTTTTCACTTATTTTCCTTTGACTTTCCACTTCCTAATGCAAGTGCATTATCTTATATTTAATATATATAATAAAGCCTCAGAAATATCTCCTAATAAATTAATAAATTGGCCATTTCGAAATTAAATAATTGAAGGGTGGTCTCTGACTTTTCCATAGTGCTGTATATGCATACACAGTCATGTGAAGAAGTAAGTACTCCTCATGAAATGTTTCTCTTTTTTGAAGTATGTGGACATATGGTAATTGCTTTTCAATCTATTTAAAAATATTAACTGAGATGTCATTTTTGTATGTTGAGAAAGTAAGCACACCCCTGGCTTCAGTAACTGGTCCTGCCCCTTTTAAAAGAAACAACTTTATGTAGCCATTTCCTATAACTGTCTACCGGTTTCTGGAATCTACTTAAAGAAAATTTTGCCCACTCCTCCATGCAGAATTCTTTCAACCATGCAATGTTTGAGGGGTTTCTTTCATGTACAATCCATTTCAAATCCCTCCCTCAGCATTACAGTGGGATTCAGATCTGGGCTTTGAGTAGGCCATTCCATAACTTTCCATTTCTTCCTTTTGAGCCTTTTCTTGGTGGATTTACTTGTATTTTTGGGATCATTATGCTGTTGGACGGTCCACGTCTTCAACTTCAACAATTTTTACAGATGATCTCACTTTCTCCTCAAGCACTCCCCTGTTATGAAAGAGAATTCATGGTCGATTATATGATTGGAAGTTAGCCAGGCCCTGAGACAGCAGAGTGGCCCCAAACCAAAACATGTCCACCACAAGACTTTACAGTTTGTACAAGGTTCTTCTGATCAAATACTGTCTTTGGTTTTTGCCAAACATGCCTCTGGTACTGTGGCCAAACAACTCTAACGTTGACTCGTCTGTCCAGACCACATTGTCCCAGAAGTCTGGTCCTTGCCTAGATGTTTATTAGCAAACTTTAATCTTGCCCTGATGTTCTTTTTAGACAGCAAAGACTTCCTCCTGGTGCACCTCCAATGAAGTCAAATTTGTGCAGTTTTTTTTCTAATGGTAGATGCATCCACTTTTACAACAGTGGCAAGAGCCACCTGTAGATCCTGTGATGAAATTTTGGGGTTCTTAGAGACTTAGAGCAGTGGTTTAAATCTTCTCCACTTGTAGATGATCTTCCAGACAGTGGAAGGATTGATTTCTAACATTTTGGGTATTTTCTGAAAGCCCTCTTCAGACTCATAGACATCCACAGCTCCTTCCTGAAGGCCTCAGAGAGCTCTTTTGATCTAGGCATGATGATACCAAACACTCTAATGACGAGCAGCAAACCAGACCAGATATCTGAGGTTTAAATTAGACTCCTCTAAGGCTCCTCTAAGATATTTATTAATCTTTAGCACCTGATTGGGTGTACCTGATTTCAATTTGACACACCTGAAGTAGTGATATATGCAGGGATGTACTTACTTTTTCCGCATAACACTGTTTATTTTAATGATATAAAGGATGACAAAAATGTTAAATGTAAATTATATAATCTTGTTCTATTAACAGTGTTTGAAAACCTGATATCTGTATCCCTGAATAGGTTGAAAAATCTACACTTTTCATGAGGTGTAGTTACTCCTTCACCTAACCGTATATATTTCCGTGTGTGTGCGTGTGCGCGCGCGCTTTTGTGCGCGTGCGTATGTGTGTGCGTGTGATCTTCAGCACCACGGCCAGAGCTCGCGGCGAGAACAATGGGAGGTTCTGTGAATGTCAGGCACCATCAGCCAATTGAAAACAGGCGTTAAAAACGAAAAGTGCCCCGAATCAGCACTAAAGACCGAAATGGCAATGCAGTTTCCTCTCTAGAGGCCCAGCTCTCCAGCACTGACGGACATGAACTGACAAAAAGCCCCCGTAGTAAAAGCAGAAGTAAATGAGATAAAAGGTCTGTATGTTTTAGTGGTATTTGACACCGTAAGTTGTTGACGATCCCTGCGGGCTACATCACGATCCTGTCAACAGCTGAAGAAAGAGAAAGAGAGAGGAGGGACAGAGAGCGACAGAGAGGCGGGAGGACGTGGAGGAGAAAACCGTACTAAAAGCAGGGAAATCATTGCCTGCGTGACTTTGGCTGCGTTTTTAGACTGAAAGTGATCAGTGAGCTGAGAATCGCAGCAGAGGCGGTTCTGATCACAGCGCTGGAGGAGGTGAAGCGGGCCGGAGGGATGAGAACAGACCGAACCGCCACACCAACCGACCTGTAAGACTGAAGATAGAGGACTGCCGATCAGCTGGCCCTGTTTGGTAGGGTTAGGACTGGTTTAGATCAGAGGAGAGAGAGAGAGGGAGAGAGAAAACATAGTTTACATCGAGAGAGGAGATCGGGAGCTCGAGAGGAATCACCTCAATCCAACAGAAGTAACTGGTACGATTTTATTAACATCATCTAAATCGTGTATGTATATGTGTAGTGTGTGTGTGTGTGGTCTGTGTATGTGTCTGAGTGTTTGTGAAGGCTGTATACGTCTAGCATGTATATACAGGTTGTATGTATCTAGTGTGTCTACACAAATACATTTAGAGATACACGATCAAAATCATATCAGTATCTGTATATATATACACACACATACACACACACATATATGTATATATATATATATATTTGTGTGTGTGTGTATGTGTGTGCGCTCTGAGGAATAGAATGTTTAGGTGATAGATTTAGACCTAATATGTATGTTACATTTCTATGTAATGCTAATACATGTAGATTATATATATATATAAATAAATCTACACATATACAGACTACACACACACAGACAGACCCATTCTTTGTGTGTACGTAGCCTGCATATTTATATATGATGTATGTATGTGTGAATGTGTGTGTGTATGTCATGCACACACGCACAGCTTGTATGTGTGTATATGTGTGTATATATGTGTGTGTGTGTGTGTGTGTGTGTGTGTGTGTGTGTGTGTGTTGTGTGCATGCTACTGTTACGTTAACCAAGGCAGACAAAAGCACTCCTCCTCCTCCTCCTCCTCCAGAGGCTCCAGCCGCTCTGCTCCCTGCGCGGGTTAAACAAAGGAAGCGCATCCCCTCTGGATCTGAATAAACGTGTGATTCTCTCTGTGTCTCTTACAGCCAGCTCCACGGAAACACAGTAGTCAGGTAATCATGAGAAAATGTCATTATTATGTTATGGCAAACCGAGGCATGATAGATGTCATGACTGCCTTTTAATGGCGTAATATCATTTGCATAATTGTTGTTATCATTGGCAAAAGTGCGTGCCTTTGTTCTATTGTTTCAGCAGATTTCTCTGCATGTAGGAATGTTTTTCTAGCCACTTTACACATATTTCAGTCATATTTTGTGGACATAATAAATTCACATTTTTAATTCACATTTTCCACAGAGACGCATCCTTCACTCCTGCCCCCGCTGGTGTCCTGGTGTGTTTGGGCACTGTTCTCTCCACCGTCCCAATGAAGGAGGCCGACGCGATAAAGCTCTTCATTGGGCAGATCCCACGGAATCTGGAGGAGAAGGACCTCAAGCCCATCTTCGAGCAATTCGGGAAAATCTATGAGCTGACAGTGATCAAGGACAAATACACTGGCATGCATAAAGGTATGGAGACTTTGAAGCTTATCTGGGCAGAACGAGGGGACGTGCTAAAACTCTTAACATGAAAAAGCTTAATGTGCTAAAACAATGACCTAGGAACACCAAATCTTTCTGCACTGTAGCTCATCTTTTTGGCATAAGACAGGGTTTATGGCCAATAATAAGTGAGCGAAATTTGGTGCTCCCAGGCCATTGTTTTTACAGTAAGACATGCTAAGACGTTTCCTTATTGTCAGTTTCAATGTGCTTAACTTCAAAATGATGGTTTTGTTTTGTCACACTGATGAGGCAGGAGGTGGTGGATGTAAGCACCAGTATTTTGTTAGAATCAAAACAAAGCACTAGGAGTAAGCGAAAGGCTATACAAAGAAAACCAAGAAACACACAAGAAAGATATGAAATAAACTAAAACCAAAGAACAAGACTAACTAGCTAACAAGCAAAAGAACTGCTTGTTGACAAGATAAAGGTTGGAGCAATGAGGCAAACACACAATCACACACAATACCTTACAAAGAGACAAGAAACACAAGAGCTACGTATACATAGACACTGTGTTCGAAATAGCATACTGTGTACTGTATACTACATATTGAAGCAGTTCCGTGTACTGCATGCTACTCCTCAAAGGGCATACAGTACAGTAAAGAGTATGTAACAATTATCATAATGTACCATGTTCTGTACAACAGGGTCACCTGACCATGTCCATGGTTACGTTCTCATGAAATTTCCTTGTTGAATTATGGGATGCTGTTTATCATGAAGATAGCTCTAACTGCATATTGGAATATTTGACCAGAGCTTTATTATGTCATCTGAGTATCTTTGGCACACTATAGAAACACTGCATGGATTTTACTAAGTACTTTTGGGCACAATCAATATGCAAACTATATGTAGTAGGCTATTTCAAACAGAAGCAGAGACTAACTGGACATGGCTGGGGAACACTGACTGGAAGGCAGGACTAGGGAGGAGAGTAGACAGAGCAGGGGCAGCTTGGTGGTGGAGCTAAGCAACAAAACAGGGAAGGACAACAAGAGAGGTGGAACCTTTGGATTATAGTTTTGTTCTTTTGATGTGAGTGTTTATAACTAGTTACATGTGAGAAAGTTGGTGTTCCTGGGTCGCTGTGTTGCTACATTAAGTCAAGTGTCCCAGATTGAGGTACACAAGAGGCGCTGATAATTACGGCATCCAGGGCCACTGAGGGAGACCTATGTTTACGTGGTGGCTTGCCCCACGTCAAAGTCTTGGGTTTCCACTGCTGAGATTGTTGTTCAGAGCATGTAGATGGTTTCTTCTGCAAACCTCTACCCATGTAAAGGACCATAAGGGAGGCCATTGTCCTCTGTTCTCTTCTGGTCATAGTGATCCAGAACTGGGGTGGAGGGGAACTGCAGGTGGCTATGGTTAAGTGTGTTCTGTGAAACAGGTCAGTGAATAGCTACTCATCCATTTATAGGACATCTCAAAACTCTCTCTCTCTCTCTCACACACACACACAACTAGTCTCCGTGAGGGATTGCTGTGTTAGTGTTGGCTAAATAAAGACCGCAAGCTCTGAGTTTTACACACCATCATTATAATGGAGATAAAGCCTTTCAAAAAGCTTCCTGCCTTTTGTGTGTGTGTGTGGGGTGTGTGGTGTGTGTGTGTGTGTGTGTGTGTGTGTGTGTGTGTGTGTGTGTGTGTGTGTGCTTTCTCACTACTGTTAGTTGTAAAAAAATATGTAGCAATATACAGACTTAAAAAAACATTTAAAATATCCATCACAATATGCATTTTCTATGTGTTTTGAAAATCTATGTCTCATTTTGGTGCAACTGACAATGAAGTGTGGCGTAACTGTAATAGTAAACTGACATATAACTGTAATAATGAGCTGTAGTGTAATAGTACATATAGTAATAGTACTAACTGCTAGTTAGTTAGTAGTAAGCTGCAACAGTGTAGCTGTAACAATGAGTTGTGATTTAATTTTAATAATGAACTGTGATGCATATATAATAATAAGCTGTAGAGTCTGTAATATTGAGCTATCATGTGACTGTAATAATGAGCTTTAATATAATTGTTTCAGTGAACTGCAGTGTAAGTGTATTAGTGAGCTGTATTGTAATTGTTTCAGTGAACTGTAGTGTGAGTGTATTAGTGAGATGTATTGTAATTGTTTCAGTGAACTGTAGTGTGAGTGTATTAGTGAGATGTAATGTAATGTAATTGTTTTAGTGAACTGCAGTGTAAGTGTATTAGTGAGATGTAGTGTAAGTGTATTAGCGAGCTGTAGTGTAATTGTTTTAGTAAACTGTAGTGTAAGTGTATTAATGAGCTGTAGTGCAAGTGTATTGGTGAGCTGTAATATAATTGTTTTAATGAACTGTAGTTTAAGTGTATTAGTGAACTGTTGCGTAATTCTTTTAGTGAATTGTAGTGTAATTCTTTTAGTGAGCTATAATGTAATTGTTTCAGTGAACTGTAGTGTAAGTGTATTAGTGAGCTGTAATATAATTGTTCTAGTGAACTGTAGTGTAATTGTATTAGTGAGCTGTAGTGTAATTGTTTAAGTGAACTGTAGTGTAAGTGTATTAGTGAGCTGTAATATAATTGTTTTAGTGAACTAGTCTAAGTGTATTAGTGAGCTATAGTGTAATCCTTTTAGTGAACTGTACTGTAATGGTTTCAGTGAGCTGCAGTGTAATTGTTTTAGTGAGCTGTAGTCTAAATCATTTAGTGAGCTGTAGTGTAATTGTTTTAGTGTACTGTAGGGTAAGCATATTAGTGAGCTGTAGTGTGAGTGTATTAATGAGCTGTAATGTAATTGTTTTAGTGTACTGTAGGGTAAATGTATTAGTGAGCTGTAGTGTAACTGTTTCGGTGAGCTGTAGTGTGAGTGTATTAATGAGCTGTAATGTAATTGTTCTAGTGAACTGTAGTGTGATTGTATTAGTGAGCTGTATTGTAATTGTTTCAGTAAGCCGTAGTGTAATTGTTCTAGTGAACTGTAGTGTAATTGTGTTAGTGAGCTCTAATGTAATTGTTTTAGTGAAATGTTCTGTAAGTGTATTAGTGAGCTGTATTGTAATTGTTTTAGTGAACTGTAGTGTAAGTGTATTAGTGAGCTCTAATGTAATTGTTTTAGTGAACTGTAGTGTAAGTGTATTAGTGAGCTCTAATGTAATTGTTTTAGTGAACTGTACTGTAATTGTTTCAGTGAGCTATAGTGTAATTGTATTAGTGAACTGTACTGTAATTGTTTCAGTAAGCTTTAGTGTAATTGTTTTAGTGAGTTCTGTTGTAACTGTAATAACAAACTGATGTATATGTAATAAACAGTTAGGAAGTAACTACAATATTGGGCTGTGGTGTAACTATTATAGTTAGCTATCAGGTAAATGAGATGATTATAGTATTGAGCTATTGAACTAAGTAACTAGTTATTGAACTAATAGTGAGTGCTAGCATAACTGTGGTGTAAATTTTAATTCTAAGGTGTAGTATAAGTGTAATAATAAGCTGTGTTTTAACTGTAACAATGAGCTGTGAGCTTTGCCATAACTAATACTGAGTTATAGTAATGTAACTGTAGTAGTGAGCTGTGGTGTAACTGCTATGCTGTTGTTGATTGGACTTTGCTTCTAGCAGTGAGAACTTATGGTGACTAAAGCTGCCACTGAAAAGAATTTCAATTATTATTATTATTATTATTATTATTATTATTATTTATCAGTGAATATAATTTCTTTCTCTCTTTTTCCATCTTTTAGGATGTGCCTTTCTGACATACTGTGCACGGGAATCAGCCCTCAAAGCCCAGACGGCTCTGCATGAGCAAAAGACACTGCCAGGGGTGAGTCCTGTGTGTGTGTGTGTGTGTGTGGTTGCCATTTACACAGCAAGGCCTGGGTCACTTGACATTCAAGCTCTCTCTGCTCTGTGCCTGTGTATGTGTGTTTGTGTGTGTGAGTGTGCATGTGGTTGTTACATTACACTGGTTTTGTATGTGCGAGTGCAAGATCTGGCTCATTCTGGCATTGTGGCAAGCCTTGTGTTGCAGTAAACCAGAGGTTCTCCATAGAAATTTGACATAAGATGGTCTTTGATGTATTCTGTAAATAGCAACCAGAAAATCAGCAGCACTATTCACATCAGAAGTGGTTGTTTTATTTTTTTGTCAGCCATAGAAATGGGGTATAAACAATAACTGTAATGTTACAGTATATTATTGTATTTTGATATAAATTGTGGAAGCTGATATCCATTCTTAACAGTTTACTGTGTAATTTACAGTACATTCCTGTAAAAATAATCCCAGAATTCCCAGAATCAAAATAGGCTATATATGATTAAAAGAAGATTTAATATATGTGCAAAGGTTTACCTACATTACATATAGTGGTAAAGGATAGTAACCACAAAGTAGGTTGTGTGTAGTGTAATAGTTATATGCAGAGTGTAGTTATAAGAGGTGGAGTCAGTGAATTAGTAGGTTGTGTGTGGTGTTATAGTTATCTATACAGTGTAGTTATAAGAGATGGAGTCAGTGAATCAGTAGGTTGTTGTGTGTAGTGTTATAGTTATCTGTAGTGTGCAGTTATAAGAGGAGTCAGTAAATCAGTAGGTTGTTGTGTGTGGTGTTATAGTTATCTGTAGTGTGCAGTTATAAGAGATGGAGTCAGTGAATCAGTAGGTTGTTGTGTGTGGTGTTATAGTTATCTGTAGAGTGCAGTTATAAGAGGAGGAGTCAGTAAATCAGTAGGTTGTTGTGTGTGGTGTTATAGTTATCAGTAGAGTGTAGTTATAAGAGGAGTCAGTAAATCAGTAGGTTGTGTGTGGTGTTATAGTTATCTGTAGAGTGTAGTTATAAGAGGTGCAGTCAGTGAATCAGTAGGTTGTGTGTAGCGTTATAGTTATCTGTAGTGTGTAGTTATAAGAGGTGCAGTCAGTGAATCAGTAGGTTGTGTGTAGTGTTGTAGTTATCAGAGTATGAAATAGTGAGCATGGTGAAGAAGGGTGTTAAAGCAATAATTAATCCTGTTACAGGCATGCCACTAGTTTGACCTTTCTTAGATCATTCTGGCACTCCTCTCTATTCTTCTCTCTGTCTCCTGTTCTCCTTTTTTTCTCTCAGTCTCCTCTGTTTCCTTACTACCATTCATCCTTCCTCTCATCTTCTGTTACCCTCCTTTTCTTTCCTCAAAATACATTGTTTGTTCAACCTTGTGAATCAGTTATTTTATTATGCTGTTGGGTACACAGTTCCTCACTTTCAGCTTACACATTAGTTATATATTAGTAGTTAATGAATAATATATAGTAGTTACTTATTGATAAATAGGATTTATTGTTGATTAATATGCTTTTTTATTTATTTTTTTTTATTTTTGCAAATATAATAATCAGGGATGGCTTCATCTTATACCGATGTATTGCCTACCTGTCCCACATACTTGTTATTGTCTCACCTATGTCATATTGTTTCTACCTCTGTGTGGTTTGTTTCCCCTTTTTCCCAGATGTTTCTAGGCTTGTCTTGTGTATAAGTCACCTTCATGTTTCCATGTTCATTTGTCTGGTCTTCTGTCCATTTCGATGTCTGTCACTCTGTGTTGTTTTGTGTGTTTTACTTTGTGTTTCCTTTGTTCATTGTAGTATTTGTTTTAAAAAAATCTTGTGCCTACATCTTGTCTCGGTGCCTCCCATCAGTGACAACAATATACATATTTCATGTCAAAACAAAAGATTGCCTACTAGCATGTCCGTGTGCAAAGCTGTGATCTTCTAAAACGGTGCATCTGAGGTATAAACAATACAATAATACACAGGATGCACCCAGATGCCTTGTTTTGATATTTGTCTGTGGTTTCCAAGAAAGACAGCAAACGAAAGACCCTCAGGAGAGAGGGTCTCTCTCTGATGATGCAGTTTTAAATTTTGATACTCTGTTTTGTAAGTCTTTTTCTCCATTTTTCAATGCTCTATTTTGCCAGTAGGGATGCGCACCAGGAGAATGACACAGTGAGCATTTCAGAAGAGCAAGTGCATAGTATGAAAAAAATAACAGATCACCAGAATTCCTAGTTTGAACAAAAAAAAACCAACATTTAAAATGACTGAGATGTTTGTATTGGCTGTATTTGTAAACTAGGTCAACGTCTCAATGGAGTTGAAAAGCTGTTTTGGAGTAACTGAGTATCTGAAAGGTTTAATCATAAAGATTCACTGAGATTATAACACAAAACTGATGTAAAGAAAAATATTTTTACAAAACCGTGGGTTTTAAAGTATACACAGACTACGTGTGTAGGTGAGAGAGAGAGAGACAGATCAGGATAGACGAGGAGAAAAATGAACAGATGGTGTTCTCTGCGCATCACTGGGGCACTGGGTTTAATTTCAGCTGAGAGAACAAGGGGGAAAAACAAGCAACTCAAAAATGAGTGCAGACAAGTAAACAACAGACCTGATACTGCTGAGTCTCTCTCTCTCTCTCTCTCTCTCTCTCTCTCTCTCTCTCGCTTTCTCGCTCTCACTCTCCATCTACCCTCTCTGTTTGCCTGTCCAGCTCTATCTATCTTCCCTCCTGCCCTATCCTCCCTTCTCTCTATCCTCTACTTTCTCTCCATCACTCTTTCTTATTATCCATCCCCTCTCTATCTATCTATCTATCAATACACTTCTTCTTTTTATCTACTCTTCTTTCTCTTTTTCTCTCCATCCTCTCTCTCATAGATCCTTGGTTAAATGATGCTGGGTTAAGTGGTGTGTAAAGTGTATTGGTCAGTGAGAGTGTGAGAGGCTCATCAGAGTGCTGTGTGTGTGTGGTAATGGAGGTGGGAGTTGAGGGTCTCTGTGGTGAACTGATAACATAAAGTGTGAGAGCAGATAGACGGACAGAACAGGAGCATCAAACTAAGTGAGAAGAAAACAGAAAGGGTGAGAGAGAGTGTGTGTGTGTGTGTGTGCGTGTGTGTGCGTGTGTGTGTGTGTGTGTGTGTGTGTGTGTGTGTGTGTGTGTGCACTGTATGCTCTGGCTGTGTGATGTGTGATGCCCCTCTGGTGAACTCTTCTCCACTACAGTGCATTTGTGGGCTAATTTACTGATCCATGTGGTCAACAGTACTCAGAACAATTCTCTCTCTCTCTCTCTCTCTCTCTCTCTCTCTCTCTCTCTCTCTCTCTCTCTCTCTCTCTATCTCTCTCTCTCTCTTTCTCTCTCACCTTCAGGTGTGTGGTGAAGGCGGTTATGGGTTTAGTTGTTTATTAGCTGTTGCTCTGTACTTTATCAACTCTGGCCTTGAGCACTTTCTCTGTTTATAAATCAGAAAGCCTTCCATAAAAATGATCCCTTAACATTCCAGGCTTATTACATAATAAGGCTTAATTTTCATTAACTACAGAGATTTCAATCGGAACTAATGGAGCTTGTCTTAGGTTATAGCAATGTGCAATAAAACTTTGGACCATGGCTCGATAAGGGATTAAATTCAGCTTCAATGCTGAAAAGTATATAAAGTGTATATTTAAAGCATCCTGCTTCACTGACCACTCTTCAAACCACAGTGGTATTTAGTATTGAAATGGAAAGAAATCAGTGCCTGGATTGTTTTACCATGTTTAGGATGGTGGGACAGATATTCTAATGAATGCAATACCAACTATTCAAAAACAGCACAAAAGGATAGTATTTTAAAAAGCTCTCAAATAAAAAAAAAAAACAGGTATGGTCTCCTAATTAGAGAAAGGCTCATCTCCTCATCTGGCCCATCTAGTGGCCTAAGCACAGGCAGAGGGTAAAGACTCAAAAGTTGCATTTCAGCATTAATATTCACAAGGGCAAGACAATTCAACATACTGCTTTCAAAAGAACATTGTATCGTCTATTTCAAGGTATAGTCCCTTTGGAGATGATGTATCTAGATGGTAAATGCAAAATGTTTCCCTGGATTTACATTGTTTGTCACTGTCTCCTTTATGTTCCATAGCCACTTGTTCTATGGTCTATCAAAAAATTTACAAATCAATGACCCCTATTTTTAAAATGGTGTGCTACAGGATTGCTGACAACACAGCATGTGGTGCTACGGTGCTTACAAATTCTAGTACGCAGCTCACTAGATTATGATGAACGTAACCAGCGGGTGAGATAGAGGGAGGGAGAGTATAGAGCGGAGCTGAAAGAAATTTTATGGGGTATCAAGCTAAGCAAAGACATCTGGGAGAGAAAGAGAGATAGAGATGGGCCAAGAGACAGACAGTGGAGCAGAGGGAAGGTGATGTAAGAGGCAGGAAAGAGGTTCTGAAAGAAAGAAGGTTATAATAGGAATGAATAAAGTGAAGAAAAAGAGAAAAAAATCTCTATAATACCCCACCATACTTAAGTACAACATGTAGTTTTCTAAATTAATTTGCCATATGATGCTATAATACTATAATCCATTTGTTATCTCTAATCCACCAGCATGTTTTGTCATTAATTGCTTTACCATAATCCTTTATATTGTTGGTCATGGCATTTGGTGACCTGTCAGTGTGACATTTATATTCATGACAGCTGATGTTTCCATGATGATTTCACCCCATGATTAGTGGAGTAATTGCTATGTTTCTCTCTGCTTACAGAAATATACATTTAATGTACATTGTTATGGAGTCTATATGGTGATATCTTAGTTTGTTGTTGCACACTTTGGAGATTTAACATTTTATTTTAGACTAAATAGACTCCAAAAAGAGAAGAATAGAGCCTAACAAGCGCCAGTCTCAATGCTGATAAATGTTGGATCCACTAAGATGTTCCATTGCTGTTCTATAAGGAACTCAGCACTAGTAGTTGATACTAGTGAAAAA